AGTGGGGAATTAAAAATGTACCCAGAGAGGCTAACATTTGAAGAATAGATGCTTGTAGTATCTATTAGTAAATACTGAAACATTGCTCACTCTTGGAAAGTTCTACCTTATTTAATGAAACATTGCTCACTCTTGAAAAGTTCTACCTTATTTCTGATTGAAACTCCAAAACTAGTATTTCTGATCATTTAGTTTAATTCTAACCTTGTTATTTTATTTAAATAAGAAAGGTTGTGGTTTTATATAGAATGATATAGGACATATGGTATAGTGCTTATATAGGGTAATTTAACAGCCAGATATTTGGCAGTGCCTAATTAGTTATTCTTTGAGCAAAAAAAAAAAATTTAGATAAAAATTCCCAGAAATGCAATGTAGGAAGATGGAAAATATTTATGTTTTAGAGCAGCCGTGGGCAAACTACGGCCTGTGGGCCGGATCTGGCCCGTTTGAAATGAATAAAACTAAAAAAAAGAAAGACCGTACCCTTTTATGTAATGATGTTTACTTTGAATTTGTATTAGTTCACACAAACACTCCATCCATGCTTTTGTTCCGGCCCTCCAGTCCAGTTTAAGAACCCATTGTGGCCCTCGAGTCAAAAAGTTTGCCCACCCCTGTTTTAGAGTCTGGAACCGAATGCTAAATATAATCTTTTGAGCCATGTGAACTTGGGAACTATTTTGTGATTTGCTTTACTCCTCTAAAAAAAAATGAATTTCATCCAATCATTTATTGAGCATCTAATATAGAGTAAGAAAAATATCTTATTTGATTCTGATACTATCTTTATGAGCTAGAAATTATTTTTCACATAATTTTTTCACTTCACCAATATCTCCTGCTTTGTGTTATTCTCAGGAAAAAAGGTGATATAATTATAAAAATACAATGAGTTTTTCTCCTCTCTTTCCATTTCTCAGGGATTTTAGAAAAATGCAGATATTAAAATAGAAAAGACACTGGTTTTTCTGTCTCTTTTCTTTGGATCTGTAGAGTTACCAGGACAAAAATAAAATGGCAATAGAGGTGAACTTGGTACATTTCCTAGGATTTAGATGTACTGGAAATGTCCAGAGCCCTGCAGGCCTGTGGCCACAGATTGTATTACCTGTCATAAAACCCTAGAGCTGTGTTTCTGTACCCAGTTCCCATTTGCAGTACTAATAATGCCTTCAGCACAAGTCAATTCCAGGGAATTAGTCCTGCAGTCAGTGGGTTAAATCCCCATGAAGTAACCCTGCAGGTGACCCAGTTGCATTGACCTTAAGTATAGAATTTCAGATCAATAACTGTGGTACTTGCATTCTGAAATGTAAAACAATCTCTAGTGTTTTTGTTATCCCAATGGATATTATCAGACAAGGGATCACTATGGCAATTGCAGGTTCTTATCATATTAATGTTTGTTTTGGGTAAAAAAAAAAAAAAACTATTTAAAAAAGTAAATGCCTTCTGTTCTCTTTTCTTGGAATATGTAATGATGACTTTCAAACATATAATGAAAATTAACAGTAATTCAAATAGCATAAGCAGTCATTAATTGCTTATACATGAAATAAAATTTCTTCCTCAGAGGTAAAGCATTCCAGATGGATGTAAAATTCCTTTGGTCTATTCACCTTTTAACTCTGTCATAAAAGGGTAACAGATCTCTCAATTTAAAAATGTAAAGCCTCCACAAACTGGGCTTGGGGGCAGTGAGAGAGGAAAGGGAAAATATGTTATAGCTCCCTGAACTGTGACATTGACCGGCATGGTGTTCTGCTAGTGTTTTAACCAAAGAACAGAAACCACTTCAATTATTTATGCCAATGGAACAAACTATCTTGATACAAGAACTGGTTATCCTCTAATGAGGAAGCTTACAGTCAAATAAAGAAGAGAGAAGAAACCAGAAAACTAGCCATTGCAGGAAGCCACTACCAGGCTGGAAAAAGAGGAAAATCCACATCACAAGACAGAAGCTAGAAGCACAGGGTGTTTGTCCACCCAAGCGGAAGCCATTGAGGAGATGGATCCTCAGGTAGAGAAGCCAACCAAGGCAGGGGGTGGGGATAAACTCATAAACTGCCTGGTCTTTTCTCCCCCCACCCATTGCTACCAACTGCTGGTGGCTTCTAAGAGCTATAGTAGAGCTGGCTAAGGTCAAGTAGAGTGCAAAAGTGAAGGGTGAGAAGAGCCAAAGGAGCTCAGAGCCAGCATATATGGTCATCTCCCCTGTGAATTTATCTTACCTGGTCGATTCCCAGTTTATGCCTTTTGTAAAAAGCTAAGAATTCATGGACAGGTAGAGAGCTTCTCACTGTACAGATTTTAAAAGAGACAGTGAGAGATATGATAAAGCTCAGCATGCCTCTGGGACTGTATAAATATTACTATACTTAAATTTATATTTTGAATTCGTTTTTACTCAACTGGTGCACAATGGGATCAAAATACTTCCTCTGGTGTGGTTTCACTGTTGCTAAGGACCTAGGTGGCTATTCTCTTACTTCTCAAGTATGTTTCAGTATGAATTATGACCTAGAGCTGAGTTTAGAACACAAAAACTAATTCCAAGGTTATCCCAAATACACGGGTTAGTAAGCATATGCCTCCACACAGCATCATACCATATTTCTCAGACATATTACCCTGTTGGTTAGTCCCTCCACTTTACGTATTAAGTACTATCTTGAGTTAGGTAAGGCAAGGTTTCTCAAATTGATTCTCCTATTCTCCTTCCTTGAGCAATGAAGGAAATGTTGCCTTTCTCTTCATGTCTAAATGGATTTCTCAAATAAATAAGTATTTATGCGATATCTTAAATTTTTCACATATATATATAAATTTTTCATATATATATAGTTGATTTCAGAGAGGAAGGGAGAGGGAGAGATAGAAACATCAATGAGAATCACTGATCAGCTGCCTCCTGCACGCCCTCTACTGGGGATTGAGCCCGCAACCTGGGCATGTACCTTTGACCAGAATCAAACTCAGGCGGAACCCTTCAGTTTGTAGGCTGACGCTCTATCCACTGAGAAAAACCGACTAGCGCACGATATCTTACATTTTTTAAAGGATTTTCTTAAGCACCGTCACATTCGTTCTCACCATCACCTACTTTATAAGTGCTGGCAATAGCCATCATCAGGACAGTCTGTTTCCCATCTCAACATTGCCTTGTTCTGACCATGCCAGGGTTTCTGAAATTCTGTCCAGCTTGGGCCTGAGTCATAGAATAGTACAGAGGTGGTCCTGCTCTTTCTGGAAATTCAAAGAACACCGCCCCCCCCCCCCCCAACCTGGATTCTGAGGGCCTGCTTTCCATGAATCTTAAACTAAGGGAATGGCTTGCCTATTCAGATGAACTAAGGGGACCTTCACTGATGGGTATCCTACATCACAGCCTCAAATCAGCACATGCACAAGTATGTTTCCAAATAAGATCATCTTGACTTAAAAGTATGGGTACCATGGTGTGAAATTTGTATGACTTCTTTAAATGTGTCTAATTAGAGATAGGTACCCCAATGCAAGTCTGTCCAATTTCCTACCAGAACACTGTCCTATAATTGGGAACCATATTCCATGCTTGTGTGATCCAAGACAGAATATCAGAATCAGCTGTTATGGAAATGTATGCTTGTTTATTTTTCCTTTATTCCTCCTTTTAAGTTGAGAGCCCGGGAACTATAAAATACTGTTTTCTTCCAGAAGCAGAAGTGCATGAAATGAAATGTTAGGACAGGAGATAAGAGCTCCAGCCTCACCTCAAAGCCCATAGTTAGAGCACGGCTACTATATTCAACAAGAATAACAACACAATCCAAAATCATGAGCAGGCGACAAGAGAAAGAATTTGGGAGAGAATAGTCTGCTTTATTCCTGTTGATATCATTTTGCCACAGCTTTTTTTGTGTGAAATAATAATGATAATAATAAAAAACAGAATAAAAGGGCATATTGAGGGGCTGTTCTCCAACATGGGCTCCCCAAGTCCCCACTCCCACTAATGGGAACACAGCATACACCGCCAGCCAAGATCAGACCTCCTAAGTAGAGCATTTTATTTTCTTGCAGATTTTTCTTGTTTGGACTTTAATTAAGCTCCTGCCAGGCTTGCAAGCTTTTTAATTTTACCTTTCTTTCTTCTTTCATTTTCCTCCTTGAATCAGTCTACTTGCCAGGAAACTTTTTCCAAGCTGTCACAATTATAGGAAGTGTACTCTAAGAGATTACATTGAGAGATGAACTAGTAGTTGCTTCTCTAAGAACCAATAGCAGAAGTTTCCTTGCATTTGGATTTTCATTCATTCATTCATTCATTCATTCATTCATTATTTCTTAAGTGTATGTATTTTATGGATGAGAAAATAATAAAAAAGGAAGCTTCTCAGAGTTTACAATGATAACTGGCTAGTTGAGTGATATAACTCAACCTCCTACAAAAGTCACTAGAGTAGTAGAAGAAACTTGCCATTATTTATTTTAGTACTCACACTGCTCATAAGCAAACTGTAGCTTTTTACCCATGTTGGTGGGTGAAAGGTGAGTGAGTGAGGAGAAGGCAATGCCTCAGTCGATGATTTAACACTTCATTATGAAATGTAATATTTAATGTACCGAGGTTCTTTTTAAAGATCCCATTTGTACAGTTATTTTCATTGCAATTCTGAAAGTCTAAAGGAAGGGGTGGGGGTGCCAATGGTGACCCCTTCAAAACAGAGTCTATGAGAAGCTATTTTCATTGGAGGAGGCTTGGTGGAAAATTGGTCGCCCTAAATAGAATGCCTATTTTTTTTTATTAAAAAAACACACACGCAGATAATATTACAGGGCCAGAAATAAAAAATAAGCCATCAAAAACACAAACACTAAACTGAAAGGTGTGGAGCATTCATTGGGGATATTATTATCTCTGTGATTGCTATTATCGTCTCTCTTATTATTTACTTAATAATTCCACGCTGCCAGCTCACTCCGCCAACCGCGCCTGTGTGCGAGGTACTTACTGATCGCTTCCACAAACCGCTCAAAGAAGCTGAAAGGGAAGAGCGGCTCAGGCAGCTCCCGGAAAAACATCTTCAGTGCTCCGGTGACAACGTGGATGTCCTCCCACTGGCTGTCGTCCAAATTCAGCTTCTCTTCTGGGAAAACACGAGGAGAAATGGAACAACTGGTTTTAATGAAACAATTACAAGACACTAATTATTATGTTAATGTTTGCCTACTATCATCAGCAACCGTTAACAGCCTTCTGCACCTAGAGGTTTGGTGCTGTGCATTTTTTTTCTTTCTCCTTTTTTTTTTTCCGTAGGAAGGGAACATTTTCAATGGAATACCATCTGTAGGAATGCAGCTAACAAAAAAACAAGACACACAAAGAGACAGCACCATTGACACAGTATGTCAGATACATTTATTCCCATAATGCAGCAGTATGAAAATTAGCATCACAGCTCAACGTGATTCAAAGCTATTTGGGTTTGAGGCCGAGGGGCTAAGAGTTGCCAATGATGGCCGGCTCAAGGGACCGGCCTAAAGGCCTTGCTGAGCCAACAGGAGACATATGCTAAACATGGCAATAGAAAATGAGTTATTGCTTTACATGTGTTAGCCTTGCTATGTACAAGGGAATAATGGCTAACACCTCTCTCTCTCTCTCTCTCTCTCTCTCTCTCTCTCTCTCTCTCTCTCTCACACATCTCTCTCTCTCTCTTCTGAATATAAAGTCAGCAAGGAATAGAATACTGAGTGAGAAAGGATATTAATTCCTTCTTACTGCTTCAAAAATATCTTTTTTTAGTTCTCATCTCATCGAGGAAAATGCCCAGAAACAATATTAGACAGACCCCTGTTGGCCTACGCAGGCTATGCAAAGCTGTCAGAAATGATAACACACTAAAGACAAACCACAAGTGCTTACCAACTCCTCTCAGAAACAACGGAAATGCTTGCTTGGGAAGCCTGAGTGAGTTGAAACGTTTACATATTCAAGACAATAAATGCCAAAATGAAGTTTTTAGAGTAAATAAAGGGATGTCAGGTTATTATTTTTTTCCCTTTTTGCCCTCAATATGAAAGCCTGGAATCATTTTCACCCAAGAAGTGATAGACTAGGGTCTGAAAACGACATCCTTCCATACAGCTAAAAGGACGCAGGCACAAAAGCACTGCAGCTGATCCACAGTATTTGTCTTTCCAAACATGCGACATGGAAAAGATTTTGGATTCTGGGCTTAATGAAAACGAAAGCTACTCATTTCAGACAACCTGAGGGTTCACTGAAAAGCTGAATATCCTGGCAAGAACTTAACAGGTATTTGGTCAACTGGAATTTTGTTTCTTTACCAATGTCTTAGGCTCACATGCACATGCCCTCTTGGTATCAGTTTTTCAATGCAGAGAAGAATTTGTATGGAAAGTGTAAAAAAAAAAGCTGAGAATTGCCACTGTAGGGAATCTCTGCATGAGCTGTTTTGCTAATACTGTTCATGTCCTTTTAAAAATATTAGCTGAAATCCTTATCAGATCTTTTTTCTAAATGGACTATTATTTTATTATTTACAGGGCTAGTAAGTGATGTTCCTGCTCACCAGGATGCTTGCAATGAGAAGGAATGAAGGTGGATATGTGTATTTCAGACAGGCTACTTTTTTTTCTTCCTTTTCACTCTCCATTCCTACCTCACTCATAACACAATAATATGATCCACAACAAAGTCAGCAGAGGAGACCTTCCTTCTGCCCTGCAATCATTTTTGATTGATTGTATTTCAACAATTAGTCTTTTATTTGGCTACACACTATTGAAATAGGACGACAGCATCTTAGCAGGCCAGCTTTAAACAGTCAACTGTTAACAATAGCATCAAAAAGGGAGACCTGATGGGGTTTACTGTCACTTTAAAGAACAGGGTTTTCACATTGTTGAAATCTGTCAGATATTTTGAAATGTCCCTCTCACTATGGTGCCACACCCCCTGCGTGCCCTTATAATAAAATTGGTTTTACTCCTGATTAAATCATTTTCTCCCTACCCACCACCATACTTCTCATAATGGACCTGTGCGCTCTACAGCTGGTGTTCTTCCCATGGTACCAATTCTTACTTTATCTTTTAAGCACTTTGCTGCTAAGATCTCATGCAGAGTGCTTATGTTTTGTTAAGAGCTTCATTCTTAGAGAAATAGCTTAACACATGTTCTAAAAATGTTGTACAACTTATTGCTTAAAACACATTTAGAAAATGTATAAGTACTCTAGCTTTGGCACTGAACTTTAAGTGGAAACCTAAATACACACAGACACATGCTCACACACACACAACTATCTCTACCAAAAATTTATCAGAAAAGTCCAACATAACATGCCATTTTGATACATAGGTTTGAGATTGTCAAAGGAAAATGTTCAGGTAAAAAAGAGAATGATTTCATGTTGAGTCAGAAAACAAGAACAAATAATTGTGACTAAAGGCAAATGCCATTGGTATTAGTTATGCTCACATGAAATCACTTAATTCAAAAGATTGTGAAAATTAGAATATTTTAATATACATTAAAAATTACCAATCAATAAATAAATACCATTTGATTATGCCAATTTGAAATGCAATGTAATATCAATATAAACTTGTGTTGCTTAAATCTGCATTCCTACTCTAGATATCTATGTAATCTTCATTCAAAGAAAAACAACAATAATTTGTACCACTTCAACAAGTAGCTTAAAGAAATAATATGGCAAGTAGTAAAATATAATATCTAATTTTTATATTAAATTATTATAAACCGGAGGATTTTAAGGTATATTTTTCAAGGCCACTGTGACTTATCTAAGCATACAGTTTTGTCCATATTCAGACGCCTGCTCATAAATCCTACCAGTTCTCAAGACGAACTAGCATAACTCTTTCAGTGTTAACAGGTATCATTCTAAATACATTTGTATTATTTGATAGGCATTTTCTAACAAAACTGAAACTGCTAGCAATGATGACAACTTATACTTCTTCTCTTTCCAGAAGAGCAGGGTTCCTCAACAGTGAAGCACTGTTGACCTGAGGGTTGGATAATTCTGTGTTGTGGGGCTGTCCTGCATCCTTGGATGTTTAGTAGCATCCCTGGCCTCAATAAGAGTTCCCGGTGGTGATGATGAAAAATATTTGATCATTTAAAGTTATCCCCAGTTGAGGACCACTATAAGGAAGCTTATAAAAGCATATAGAAGTTACACAATAAATATTGATTTATGAAGTTTACCTTAGGTAGGCAGAGAACTAGAACACTAGATACACACATATGGAAATTTCTTTAATATGACCTTAAGAGTTGCTCATTTTTATTGACAAAATCTAAATCTTTTGAGAACAAATTTATAAAACTACATTTCAGGATGCTACACTACCAAAAACAATAAACAACAATTACTTAGTGCTTACATTCTAGTAGGGACTATGCTATTCTAAGGAACTTTACATTCCTTATCTAATATAATTTTTTCAATAAGAAAGTGAGAACTATTTATATTGTTATCATCATCTTTATTTCACAGGGAGGGAAAAATGAGACATGGGTAGATTAAATAACTTTTCCATGGCTGACAAGAATGAATCCAGGATAAGGAACCAGTAAGCCCCTGCCTGAGAACCACTATGTTCAGATTTAAACTTGGCAGCTGAAGCTGAAAGGGAAAAGGTAGATAAGCAGTAACTGCAATCAGTAATAGCTATACTATTACGTCACAGATAGTGACTTTTAGATTGGTATCCTTAAATGTCTTACTTGAGACTATGCTTTTACTATAAACGGACTCATCTTTTTTTTGAAATAGTTTTATTGATTTTTAGGTAGAGAGGAAATGAGTGGGAGCAAGAGACAGAAACATCAATGATGAGAGAGATTCATATTAGTAGATCAGTTACCTAATGCATCTTGGAATTGAGCCTGCAACCTGGGCATGTGCCCTGACTAGGGATTAAACCCAGATCTTTTGGTCCATGGGACAATGCTCAATCCACTGAGCCACACCAGCCAAGCTCATCTTTTTTAATTACCCATTTATAAAAGGAAGATATTTTATATAAAGAGATATAAAACAAATTAGCAACAAACAAACAAAAAAGAAACTGCATTAGGAAATGGGCAGAAGATGGGTCAAATTGTTAGGTGGCAATGGAGTAAAGAGGAAAGATGATAACATGAGAAATAATTACTGCTGGATTTACTGCTAATTCCTTAGATATTTGTTTATTTGTAAAATGAAGATAGGTAGAAGAAAAGTTGTTGGTAGCAGATGAGAAAACATATCTGAAAAACATTTGGGAAGCAGTAGGCAAAAATCATGTGCAAGACACCCCCTAGGATATTAATGTGAATAAAGACCAAAAGGACAAACTATGCAAGGGATTAAGGCAATGGAAATACTGAACCAACATCATACACCATCCTGGTTGTTATAGAGGATTTACCTCAGCATGATATAGTTGGTCATATAAAAACTTTGCAAGCTAGAGTCCAATACTGCGAGGAAGTCTGGTTTAATCAAGATACTTCACAATCCTCATTCTATTAATCCATGTTGTTTTCTCATGACCTTCATTTAGGCTCTTTTCAATGTTCTTGGTTTAAAGCATTTAAACAAAATTGAAGGTGAGTAAAACTCCTGAATCCAAATACTATGTGAGTTTTATTAGATTACAAAAAGTATACCTAAATGTTGTATCCAAACAAGGCTGTCTTGAAATGCTCTTTCTTGAAGGGCCTTTTGTATATCTTATTTATTTTTTTAAGTAAAAGTTATCTACATCAAGCTAAAAACAATTATATGTGAAAAAATAATTTGACAATCACTATTGGGAACAATCTTTCTTAGGAAGGAGAACTGAAAGATGGACCTTTGATAGCCACAGTAGGTTGCGGTATTTTCTAAGGAAAAAGGCACATCTAAATATCACTAATCGATTATTTGTTGTAAAGGGTTGCCCTCCATATTATAAGATATTTACCAGCATTCCTGGCCTCTATCCACCAGATTCTAGTAGACACTTCCTCCCCATGTGACAACTCCCTCCCTAAAGTAAATTAAATGTAATAAATAAATACCACTAGTAACTTAATCACCACTTTCCCCTTATATTATACTAG